TAATCAATCGTAATGTTTTGTTTCTGGAATTTGGATTCCGATGATAAATATCAATACAACATCCGAAAATTCAGTTTCGGATTCCGTACGTATGCTCCGAGCTCGTCTAGGAGTGGCGTTATCCCTAGCGCCATCCGCCTATCTAGAGTCATCAGTGGTGAACACGTGGCCTGCTCAACAATTTATTGCATTGGACAAAACTTATATTTTTTATCACGCGCGTGTGGTATCCTATAGACTATGATATAGCGCACCTACGCGTGCATCGAATGAATAAACAAATAAATAAATAGGTGGGTTCGACAGATTTTTTTATTCTGAGATTCAGAATTTAACTGAGTAGCCTGGAGCTTCTGTTACCCTATGTGAAACATGAATGAATGATGCAAAATTCTGCAGAATTTTTGAGGTTTAATCAGCGATTATCTATAATATGAGTAGGGTTTGCGCTGTTTCTCACCACTCTGAGTTGCTGGGAACGTGAGGTCACCTGACAGCTACGAGTTCTGCCCTTCTCGTTAATGTTACCGCATCAAGGCACAGCAGTCGCAATGGTGCGAGAAGAAGAAAACCTCGGATTATAGAGGCAGCGTGCCTCATTTAGAAAATCGAGGCTGACCTTGGAACGAGCGATCGTAAATGGTGCCTTTGTTGGTTTTATTTTCCTTTATTTTCTTTATTTTCGTAGCGTGCTTGATTTGATGAACAATTTATTGACTCGCATGACATCTGCTCGTGCCTGAATACAGGTCTTTGATACTAATATAGCCTCATCCTCCACTACTTTAGAATGGCTCCCCATTCTTGCATCCACGAAGGGTGAATATTTATGAAGCGGAGCGAAACTTGAAGCCAGCATTGGCCTCTTCTGTTTTGCAACGGCTCGTGTTTGTCTTACACGTGCATACGAGAAGCCACGACTTGCTTTAGTCAACATTGACCCGTTAGCTCCACCAAACAGAATAATTTACACTCAAGTGTAGGCCACCAGAGTGGAGAATTCTAGATAACAAGCAGATGGAATTCGGCCACATCGTCAAAGCAGTCTCTTCAATCCTCGTTTTTCTCTTTTCGTAAAATACGCGGCGCATCCCAAAATAGATTGGCTTACGCTGAATACTTTATCCTTTTTATTCGTTGTGGTTCTTGCCCATTTTCCATCTTGATATCATCTTCTCAGGTACAGAAATATTAGTTCCAATTAGGTGGAGGTAGAATTGGAAGACGTCAATGCTCGCTTTCAACGGTCGTAAGATCTCATTATCTCTTCCTATTGCTTGACTCCCGATTAATGCGATTATCTTCTTACATATTATATAGAAATGCTCATGTAGAACATCTTCTTATTTGGAATCTTCTTTGAGCGAAGTTCTACAAAGAAAATCTCAAAATGTGGGAGTTCATCTTCGCATTGCGGTTTTTGTGGTGCTCTTGATGCATGAAAAAATGAATGTGCGCTCGCTCATTTACGCTTTTCTCATTTCCAAGTGTTCATTTGGCACTACCAATGCAATCATTTGAAAGCCCATTTCGGAGCATCAAAATGTGACATTGTGATTTTGAGCTGAGTGGTATTAGAAGTTTTCTTTGAAAAAATGGCTGTCTAAAATCCCAGGAATGCGTCTGCATGCTCTACGACTTCAAACATGGCATGAAGGCCACAGAAATTAGCCGGTTGTTGTATACCAGTTGGCGCCGCACGCATTGCACGCACACGCGCGATATAGGATGGTGCGGCGTGAATTTTCGAATTTGGCCCAATACGAATATTTGACTTTCAAGCTGAATTCTATCCGATTGCCCCATGCTTCATCCACCGATGGCTTTTGACCTTCCCTCCTTCCTCCACCAATTGTCCGTAATGGTCAACCAATTGTCCGTTTTTCCCGGCCTCGGACTGCCTCCGGACCGATTTATGAACCTCGTGGTAAACTCCGCCTATTTCTTTGCATGTCTCACCTATCTCCCAGTCTTTGAACTATCCTGAGCCGATTTATAATTTTGGCGGCGAATCCTGCTCTTTTGGTGTATCCTCCGCACACCATTTCCTTCGCCCACTTCTCTCCCGGTCTTCAGGACTTCTTGCAGCCGAGTCACAAAGTTTTGTGGAGAACTCCGCCCACTTTGGTCAATGCCCCGCCCACCATGACAGTTGGCCTCCACTCCTCCACCCACCTCTATCCACCTTTTCCCGGTCTCCGGGACTTGGAACCGAGTTATGAATTTTCGTCGCAAACTCCGCCCACTTTGGTCATGCCCCGCCCACCGATGACAGCTGGCCTCCACTCCTCCACCCACCTCTATCCACCTTTTTCCGGCTCACTAAGACTTCTCCGACCCGAATTATGAGGACTTGTAGAAAACGCTGTACACTTCAGAGCGCGCTCCGCCCATTGTGGGCGGGCCTCCGCCAACGTCGTGTATGCTGGGAGCAGCACCATTGCCCTACAACAATTTGTTTTCTGCTCTGTAGGCTTTCTCCCAACCGAGTTATGAAATTTTTCATAAAGCACTGCTTTTTTAGGAACGCCCCGCCCACCGGGGGTGGGTCTCCCTAATTCGATGTGACTTACCAATGCACACCTTTACCCACTTTTTGGCCCAGTTTCGAGGTCGTTTTGTCACTGAAATCGAAATCTTGGTCTTCGGTACAGTTCATTTCGACGCACGCCACGCCCTCTGTGGGCGGGGCTCCGCTTAGCTGATGTGTGTTTTGTATTACGTGAGACCTTGCCCACCCATCCCACACTTGACCCGGTCCCTCCAGGCGGATCCCGAGGAGCTAGGGAATTTCGTGACAGACATACAGAACAGACAGCACGATGGTTTCAGCAATTTCAGATGGGGTAAGAATTAAGAAATCTGCTGGCACATGAACGACGCGCCGGATAGGAGTGGCATGAACGCAGGCCTCTCCTAAAAAGGCATTCACTAATGCAGACTATGATGATACTCATCTTCTTACCGTTAGGAGAGCGAATCGTGTTGCAGATGAATCGTTCGCCCAGCTCCCTCTAAGATAAGGCTCTGGTGGCTCATCGCAAAGTTGGTCTAGCAGTACATAGACAAACAAGACAGTGTACTTTTCCCTCGTCCGCCATGCAACACAGGCATTCTGCTACCCGGTTATCGTTGTTAGCGCCATGCACATCTCTTGCTGAGAAGAATTAAAATATCGGTGTGGTTTTGGATGTTCAACCTCTCAGCCCATATGGCTTACCTGAGGAGGCATCCTCTTTCACAGTTGATGGCGATCAGTCCTTTCTGACTGAAGAACAAGAGAAAATTTTTGTGGAAGGATGCTAGCCACGATTATTCCCATTCTTTTGCACTGGTTTGTTGATGCTGTGTGGTTTTGGCAGTTTGTCAAAAATTTATAGCAATTGGAAGCTTTTCAACCGACCATGTGAGCCGCGGCCTTGTGCCGAAGCTTTAGCACGATCTGCGGAGCCATTTTCACTCGTTATATTTGCGTCGTTTAGGCTCCGAAATGACCTTCGATGCCCGTTATCCTTGCTATTATATTCCATTGAAATCGGCGCATGTCACGCTGTTGCCTCGTCACTTCATTCCTACCGGTCTAATCTCACTCTAAATCGGATGTTAGACTTTTAGCAAGAAATCATGGAAAGGGTTATGTTTCACGGCAAAAATGGCATCGAACCGGATGTTCTATTACGTTTTCCTGTCTGCTGATGTCCGTACGATTGGGGAATGGAAATGTCCGTTACATGCGTCACGTTGCATCGCCAAATGTTTGCTGTTGTAAGTGCGCTCTCTCACTTCGTTTACTCATTTTCGGAGGTTCTTCGCGCATTGTCTTCCATCTTTACCTTGAGAAAGTGTTCTGATGTTATGGCTTCCATTTCCTGATTCGCCTCTTTGATGTTGGCTTATTTGGTATTCATTTCCGTTGTACGTGCTATATAATGGAACCAGTAGCGTCTCGGAGGTTTTGTTTCTTCGGCTTACCAACATCTGCGCTTCCAGCTTCTAGCATGGTCACGTACAGGGGCCGGATTCAATCCTTCCCAAGGGGTTGGGGGACGAAAATCCCTTCAAATTTTCTCTGTCTTCCCAACTGGGATTGTCCTGATAAAGGGCCTACATTTAATGTATGTATGCAGGTCAAAGTAAACATGCACTGAAATTGAAGAAACTTAATGGTTTTTTCGCCTCCCTTTGGGGAGGATTGGATCCAATCCCAGGCTTTGCTGTCTTCGATGCAGCTTCTCACACTTCTTCTTGCGAATATGCTTTGAAATGAGCCGACACACGGCCAGCCCAATGCCTTTATAAATTTCTTCTCTGTAGGTTTCTCTTGAAAAAGAGATCGCAGATTATTCTGTCCCAAAACATCGTTAAGCTATATTTTTCCAAATATTGCAAAAATTAGAAATCGTGGGGTGCAGGTTTTCACCTACAAAAACTGCCGTGTCCCTGAACGAGCATGACCTTCGCTGGGAATGAGCGTTTCGCGATCATGCAATGTTGAAAAGAAATCCATAACCCCAGAGTAGAGCGTAGCAAATCCAGGCGGGTTGGGTTGCTAGCATCGTGTGAGGAAAGTTGAAAATGCGCAGCCATGCCACCCTTTCGTTGGCTCGTCTCCAGCGGCATTGTGTGAGGTTTGCAGACTTGTACGTTTTTGGGGGAATGCTCTGCGTTGAAAAGTTGATTGGAGAGAAAATTCCTCAATGATATGCGCACGCAACATGAGAAAAGTAAGGTAAAAATATGAGTTCGATAAGTGCCTTAATGATGCAGAGGAGAGCTCTCAAAACTGTAATTACGTTTTTTTTTAGTCCACCGAATATTTGTGTTGGGTCCATTCTGTTTTCTTTGCTTGTAATACTCAGAATACTTTTATTTTCGCTTTCCTTTCTATGTAATAAATTTGAGGACGGCCAGATTTGTGTATGTCGTGAAGAAAGTTTGAACGGTTCTTTTCGTTCCAAAATGTAGCATTGTGATATATTTCAGTTTTGCCGGTGGAGGCAATGGATGGATCGTTGTCACGAGCTGTTGCAGCTGCAGCTCGTTATGTTGCCGACTCCAACATTGACAACACCGCCCTCTTCGAAGACTCCTTGAAAGTGTGTTCTTTCCTTGATGAGGCCTAATGTTCTAGCGTTGGTCCACTGTGGTTGGTTTTTGTCCTGACAATTGTTAATGAGTTACAGATACTTATACGTCACTTAGGGAGTGGAGGTCACCGGAAGATTATCTCTTTCCAACCAGTTCCTCACCGAATTGCTAGACTACAGTCCACACATTCTTTCGGCCAACACTTCAAGTGCACCGACTAGGTCAAAGCTTCTACGACTTCTCTTTAGCTTAGGTATGTTTTTTTTTTTTACCTTTTTCCCCTTATAACCGTCCACTCAGTTAGTCAAAGATGCGATGTACGCCATTGCCAGCTATTTCAAACCGCAAATGTTACCAACGATCGAAGAGTATGTCTTGCTTATAACGGTAATGCGAAGGGCATGTGTTGCGTGCTTATGTTGCGATTTTTTTCAACTTCAACCAAAGACCTAATGAGGATGCTTGTGGTTACAGTAGCGTAGAGCCCACTCGTTGCAGCTCTATACAATGTGAAAATACGACGGTATCTCTGTGGCGAACTCCATCTATGTGGACCTGTTTTTGAGTGCCTGAAGATGTCGCTGAAAGAGCAACTAGGACCGCAAAATTTAATCGACATTCTTCGGCTGCTACAGGTATGTTCCATGACCTACCAAGTGATATCCTACATTTTATTAACGTTTTTTTATCGCCTTGTTCTATACATCTATTTCATTTCGATATTTCATCAATCCCAAGTTCTTTGTACTATTTTTCTAGGTCGATAGGCCCAGAGGGCTTGGTTTTGAAGAATCGGCTCTTTAATTTTTTTCCAGGTTCTAACCTACGAAAAATGTCTGGTTCTCGGAATATGGACTAACGATTTGATATCTTTTCTAATGAGTGAGATGTACGTTCTCAACTTTACTTTATTTGAATTTCTGAATTTGCTTCTGTTCGTGAGTATTTATTTCAGTACTAGAAACGATGAAATGGAATGGATGCCTTACTGTATAGCAATATTATGTAACCTCGCTAGACGATCAAAGTCAGTATGCAGTAGAATAAAGAAATCGGTTTGTTTCCAAATAAAACCTTCGTACCATCAATAATATTTCGTTGCAATGCCGGTCGTATTAGCGCTAACGCTTTCAGACATCGTACAAGGCTTTTTCGCGACGTGTCATCAAATTGTTGTCGCATGATTCACGCATTGTAGTCGTATCATCGTTGGTGTTGGTTGGGTACCTTGAAGAGAAGGTTCGAGACATGGTAGGTACTCAAAGTTTTCGCTGGTTACTTTTTCTCATGGGATTGAAAAGAGAATAAGGAGTGTGATTTATTGAGATCACTTAGATCTTTAAATTTTGACATTGACAACGTGGCGCGATAGGGTACTACGCTATGTAAGCTCGTAGATGTCCGGGTACCCTGTATCACCTGTATCACCTGTA